TCTCTCTCTCTTTCTCTCTCTTCTTCGCTATACACGAACTTTTAACGATTGCAATGTTTTAGCCACAAATTTATGCTGTCCTTAGATAAGTTGAAATTAAAACGAGTTTTCTCTCTTTCTCTTCCTCCCCCACACTTCCATTCTCTCTCCTCTCTCTCTCTCTCTCTTTCTACCTCGTTCGTGTAACTTTAAAATCACGCTCCCTCTCTTTCTCTAACTCTTTCCCTATTTCGCTAACTATATCTAGCAATCTCTTTTTCTCCGTTACATCGGTGTGCTTTACGAGCCACTACTCAGCTGATCCAGCTTAATGTATGCTCTTTCGTGGGGTGCTTAAGTTTACTCGACCGATTTTATACTTTTAATACACGCCGAACATGAGAGATACTTTTAATATTTTTCGCATATTGTATTTAATTACGAAGCATTGTTCTTTTTCTTTTATCATGATTAACGCGTTAACAAATTTTCCTTATTCCATTATCTACATTTTAGTACCAAAGAAAAAAAAGAAAGTATAGGTATAAACGTTAACGTTCCATTATTATTCAATTATCTTACATCAATGTCAAATCTAAAACAATAAGAAAAAGAGAGAGAGAGAGAAACCTTAATCGAAATTCAATCGTGTCTATGTCTAAACTATTAAATGGTCCTCTTAGTTTCTTTAAAAAGTACTTTTGATAGAGACAATTAACTGTATAAACTCTCAAACACGTGCATATTTATATAGACAGTTAAAGGCTAATAATCGTTTCCTTAGGAAAAGCAGAAATCGATTCTATTCGTATTGAGATCACTTCTCAAAAGTTGACCGTTCTCAAACTCGATCGGGCAACTTCGAATGACTGTGTCCAAAGTCTAAACCACGACGTTCAATTAATTCAACAATTTGAAAGGAGGTGGAAACTGGCAGGACTCGATCGAGAATATCTCTCTCTCTCTCTCTCTCTTTATGTCGTCAAAAGGTCGAACAAAAGGGATCAACTATCTCGTGTATTGAAGATTGAAGATCAGTTATTCGCAAGTAGTACCAAGAGAATCTACCAATCGACGATTCTACGATCGGTCATGGTGATGGTGGTGGTGATGATGGAGGTGGTGGTGGTGGTTGCTCTTCAGTATAATCTGGAAGTGCCGTTATTGTGTTCCTTGCGTATAACAGATGCGGTTATTGCGGTGAAACGAGGAATATCGATGATTAGAGAAGCAAGGTAGCTAGCCTGCGGTCGTGGCCACACCTTCCTATTCCCAATTGCTCCGTGAATTAATTTATCGCAATGCGTAGTTAATGCAATGACGTTAGGCCTCTCTTAACAACCACTAAATTTTGGATTTCAGTAATTAACGATTTAATTACTCGATCGATATCACCAAACAATACCATACAATCATTTCGCCATTTAAAACCTTTCTTTTTCCTATCGACTTAAGTATACGCTTATACACTTTATTTCTACCCACAAATGTCTACTTCGGTTATCATTCATATATCGATTTGTTAATGGAAAAAATACTATACATAAATAGTTTATTATAATATATGACCGAAAGTTAATTTTTTAATTGGTGATAATATGAAACGATTAAAAAAAAAATCAATTAAAAGATTATAATTCAATGATTATTAATTAGCTATTGTAATTTGTTAGATAATGATTTAGAAAAAAATCCGATATAAAAGTTTCTTTTGTTTTGTAAAAGAGACTTTAGAAAATAGAGTTGAAAAAGGTAGGTAGAAAGAAAACGTGGAATTGAATGTCTGGAATAATTTATGCAACATAGAATGAAGAAGCGTGACAATGGTTTCGTATGTTCCATGTGAAAATATACATATACATCTATATACTTACTCTAGAACGGTTCTCTATTCCGTGTCTGCTCTGGAAGAAGTACATTTCGTTTTCAGCTTTAAAAAGAGAAAAGAGAAAGAAACAGGAAGAGAAAGGAAAAGAAAGAAAACAAAAAAAACAAAAAAAGAAAATACGAAAGGAATCGCTGAAAATTGAATTCGTGCATCGACTTTTTCGATAGCTGAGGATTCCTTCGTCGAGGGAAATAACAAAGTGACGCTAAATTCGACAGTTTCGCGTTTCAACTTTGCCAAGAAGAAAAGGTGGAGAAAAGACAAAAAAAAAAAGAAGCTGCCTCGGCATTTCGATTATCTTTTTCTCCTGAAAATAAGAGACAATTTTTACATTTTTTTTATCTTACATTTTATCTTTTTCATTCTCTATTGTAATGGTATATAACTAACAAAAAAAAAACCTAAAAAAAAAAGAGATACAACAAACAATAAATTTATTTTCCATAACAATACGTAACTAATCAAGGTAAGAAAACGGTTAACATGAAAGGATAGTAGATCTCATAGCTGAATCTTTATCAACAATGTACAATTCCCTTTTCTTCCTTCCAAGCCAAGTATTTTCATTATAATAGGTATTTGTATTGTATTCCGAGTGAAATAGCACAGTACTTAATTAAAGGAACCTTCTCGGTTTGTCTCAACACATCCTATACATGCCACAATAGAATTTTATTTAAGTAACATAAGGAAGAAAAATATCTATATTTCCTTTCGTATATCTTAATGAGAAACTATCCTCATTATTATCTTTATTATTATTATTAATATTATTATTATTATTATTATTTTTATTTTTATTTTTATTATTATTATTATTGTTATTATTATTATTATTCTAAAGATGCTCACTGTAAATAAAATTTTTATTTTTACTTATTTTTCTTTTACTCTTTTCTCTTTCCCTTTTTTTTATTTTATCTTCCCAACATGTTTTACGAATCTAAGAAAGATTTTCAAAATGGTTGGCATACAAATCGTCAGATTAGAATAATCTGATCTGGGGTGGAGTTGGTTGGGGGGTGGTTGAGAGAATAGAATTGTAGGTAATATCGTCGGTGGAACGATTCAGCTCGTAATTCGTATTATTTGCATTGATTGCGAAGAGAATCATTGAGAGAAAGAGAGATAGAGGGGAAAAAATGGTAAAGATTTCTTTGAAAATGGTAATCTTGTATATTGAATTAAAAGGTAGATATTATTTTAGCGGTGAAATGAAATGCAGTTTATTTAACTGAAGTACATGCCTCCTCCTCTCTCACCCTCCTTCCCATGGAGAAGGGCTATACAAAGCATTGTTACTATTTCTGAGAAGGAGAATTATTAAAAAAATAAAAAACCAGTATTTCCACGATCATATGCTTCCGTTTGATATAATTAAAAATATACAAAAATAATAAAATATTGTAAGCAAATGTAAAATACAATGTACAGAAAAAATAATTCAATAACAATTTGTTCTCTTCTCTTTTAGTATTGTCAAACACCAAATACTTGTTCGACAATATATACATATCACACACACATGATCACCTAATAGTATCGTTCACTATCAACCTTTTTATTATCTTGCACTGTCTTATGACGTGCAATTTATTGCAGTGACATATTGTAGCACTTTATCTTACTACTATATTTTTTTCTATTGATCTTGATTAGGCAGATTAATGAGATACTATTTATTATCTAACATATGTCTACTATTACTCGTGGAAGAATGATTTTTCTAAAAATCCCATAAAAAGGTGGATCGATAAAAGTAAGTCGAAGTTGAGGAAGTACGTGCGAAGAAAGTCAAGATGAGAAGATGAGGAGAAAAGAACGCGAAGAAGGTGTTCACAAAAGACGTCACAATAGATTTGGCGAGGCATTGTTTGAACATCTAGCACGATCCACTTCCGATCCACTTTCCTTAAGGTACTCATGTACCACCGTAGTACAATTTTCCGGGGCCTTTATACCCTTGTCACACCACCGATGTTCAAGGCTCGAGACGAAGGTCGGAAAAAAAAGCTTGTCGTAGGGTCGAGTGTTCAAAAGGGAACCTCTTTTAAAGTCGCCATTGTATCGCCATTGGTTTCTCGGGTCAAGGATTTCTTCGATTTTGGAATTGAAAGGAACAGTGGAATACTACTCGTCACACGAGTGGAACCATTCAACATCGATCGACAACAATTCTTAATCTTTCCCTAATATTGATTGGATGTGTAATTGTTATTAAAACTAGGGTAAGAAAAATCTGTTATAGTTTGAGAAATTAGGATGAATCTATAAATATATATATTTAACTTTATGTTCTACTTTTATTATTAATGCGATATTCATAAATGTTGACATCAAACTATGAGTATAAAACAATTTTTTCTTCAAAATCATCTTAATTATTATTTGTTCAATTATTATCATAAATCAGATGAGAAGAGAAAGTTTTTAAATTTAGAATTCGCTATTACAATTTTTTTCGAAAGCGGAGCTTTAAATGAAACAATGTTTTTTTTTTTTTTTTTGAAATATTTTTACACGGAGAATCACCTCAACTCAGTTATACTACCTCTCCGGATATGTTTCATATAAAAATAAATGTTCACTTTTCCTGTAAAATATTTTGCAATTTTTTGCTTTTAAATATTCGTCTATTCTCGTATTCCTTTCATTCAACAAACGCTTGATTCCTCTCATTCTATTGTTTACAATTAATCATACAAAATTGTTTAAAATCATGCAACTTTTATACATTTTTAGGATTCATAGTTTTAACTTTGTACACATTCTCACTTATGCTAAATATTTTACAAAGAACAAGTGGTACTTTAAGAACGATGAAGAATATATTCAATCGTTATCTTAATATCTTTCTTAAACTTTAAGCTCAAGTGTACTAAACGTTTGAAAGATAAAAAAGCAATCAAAAGAGATAAAAAGGGAAAGAAAGAAGGATAAATAAAATGAAAATAAAAAGTTTTAAGAGTTAAGGATAATTCTCAAAGAAAATGAAGATTACGAATGTAGTTTAGTTTAAGTTACACAGTTACTTTGTTATCTTTTTTTATTTATTTTATTTTATTTTATTTTATTTTCTTTCTCACTCACCTGGATAATTCTCTAAATTGTTTTTTTCTTTTTTATGTTACAGTCGCAGCTCTGAAGTTACTCAGTATAAACGTCCCACCGTACACCTTAAGGGGCAAGAACGCAATTCTGGAGTGCAGGTGAGAAAGTAATATTTTTACAATATTATACTATAGCTATACACACACAAACACACACACGACAAAAAGAAGGAAAAAGACCAAGAGGATGAAAAGTTTTGGGAAAAAGAGAAGTTGAAAAGAATGAAAGAACAAGACAAAAAAACAGTAAGAAAGGGTGAGAAAAAAAGTGAGGGGTGGAAAGAGAAAAGGATTTCTTTTCTTTATCTGGAAAACGTCTTGGAATCTTGTCTCTTGTCGACGCTTTAGGATTCTTATTTTATCGTGGTATGTGTATAGTACGAGAATCGGACATGGATTCTAGCACGCGAATTCTTTTCCCAAGTCTTTCTATCTCTTTATTTTTTATATATAAAGGATGTCACAAAATACGTGAACGTAATTTTGAAACGGTAGGATCAAAGTGTTAAAATTGTGCTAGCATATTTTCTATAACCACTTTCTTATATTCTTTTTATTTATTTTTCTATCGTTTTACGAAACGTGGAAGATTTCGAATGTGAGTTACGTCGGAGAAACGTAGAATGGATGGGAAGGGGGGAGATGTATTACGCAATTCAACGATAGACACGTTCACCGCAAAGAGACTTTCGTATGTTATCACTGGTTGGTCAGTCCTTTCCCTGTCCCTATCCCTTTGATATACTCTATCGTTTGATTAAATGCGATAGCAAATCAATCGCACTATATATACCTCTTTAAAAATCTATTCAAAGGCCCAATACGTTCCCACGTATCTGTTATTCTGTGTGTATATATATCTCTATCTATGTTTGTATGTCACAAACAACGTAATCAATCCTTTGAATAATTTTCATCGTCAAACTTATTCACTTAAAGGAAAAACGTGTATATTCTATTTTTAAGAAATTATTTATATATATTTTTAATTGTATAGGACAATTTTATAAAAGTAAATGCACAAATAAATTGACTGTTATTATATATCGAGTAGGGAAGGGGGAGATGGGGAAGACTGTCGTGTATGTTACAGTGAAAAATTATTAATGTAGATCATTGAAAATTCCGTTATATTGAATTCCACTGAATCGTATATTTTGATATTATATTTATAATATTATTAATATTTGATTTTATTTATATATCATAATTAATAATTATGAAGTTGAAAAGGTTTGCAAAGGTTTTGTTTTCTTATTACTTTTTCTATTCTCTTCAAATAATTTCATTATTTCGTTATTATTTTGAGTTTTTTTTTCCTACTTCGAATAGAGGTAAGAAAGATGTTAGTTTTGAAGTATTATGCGTAATTAGAAGGAATTATCGGTGTAGAAGTAATTAATTCTTGTTAAATATTGCCCATGGGCGTTAAAACGTCGTAGAAGCGTAACGTAGCGTAGTATATAACGCAGAAAGGTAGGTAAGGGTAGATACTGTATTCATTTATACAAATCGATTTTCTTGAGATTAAGTCTGTCGGTGCTTCAGGGGCTACACTGAAAGTCCGGGATGAAATGTAATTAAAATGATCTCCGCTCTTCAGACCTTCAGATTTTTATTCTACCTCCTCTTATAGAAAATTCGTTTCCCGTCAAAGGCGTAATAACGATACCTTCGTTTAACAAATTTTGTAATTCGTTAGAAAACGATTGCTCGTAAAGAAAAAGAGAGAGAGAGAGAATAGTGACTTTGAGTAATTATTATATGAGAAAGCCAATGAATCTGATCCTTTTGAGCATAACTTATCCGCTTAAATTATTATTTCATCATAGGAAAAAAGAAAAGAATAGAAAATAATATCTGACAATTATCGAGAAAGGATTTGTATTGTTCAATCAAATTTTACTAGGACAAAAAGTATTCCGCGTATCGCGTTTTATTAATTAAAAATATTTTAAGCGACACAATGAAAAAAAAAAAGAAGAAATGAAAAAATGGGAAAAATATTAATAATCATAATTTTCATGAATTACAGTTATAATCTATTATACATTTAAACGAGTGATTTCGAAAATTCTCTTTGATGAATAATTTCGCGATTCGTTTTTACGTGCTGGTCCGTCGCGTCATAATCACTAATGTACGCGAACAAAGGTGAAATGAGAGAGAGAGAGAGAGAGAGAGAGAGATAAAAAGCTGACCGAAACTCTAGGGTTGCTTTATATTACGCGTCTTCTTCTCTTTGTACGCGTAATATTTCGCGTTGGTCCAATGCGACGGATAATGGAGAGTCACGAGGAAAAGAACGTCCGGTCCCACGAATCACCAACGGTGTACGATATTTTTACATTTTTTTTTTTTTTTTTTTATTATTTCTTTTTACTCGAGTAAAAAAATGGGCCGAGGAAGGGAAAAGGGGGAGAGAGAAAAAGAGAAAAAAAAACCAAAACCGTACAAAGTGCAACCACTCCCCCTACGTTCAAAGCAGCACACAGAAAGAAAGAGAGAAACAGAGAGAGAGAGAGAGAGAGAGAGAGAGAGAGAGAATGAGAAAAAGCTGTTACAACTTGAATAAAAAATTAATCATTTTTTCATATGAATGTCCTACGTTTATTTTATTCCTTCTCGATAATCGGGGAAAATAAATGAAGAGAAATAAAATCATTCGTACTGTTATTTATCGATTCGATATTTAAAACTACCATTTTTTTTTGTTTTTTGTTTATCAAGATTTATAGAAATAAATGATCGGTATTTCAAATGAAGTATCAATTCGTATTTAATTATTAAAATGTTCCAATTTAATACAGATTAATATTAACAATTGTCGATAAAATAAATGATAAAAATGTATAATCAAATATCGTGATATGTGATACAGGTGTTCGATGTTACACACCGGGGTAATGAAAATAAAAAGGAAAAAAATAACTAGAAGAAGAAGAAGAATAATATATTTCGATATTTAAATCGTATGATAAGTATTAATGATTAATTAATCGATTTAAATATTTACTATCTCAATGAAGCCTATATTTATCTTTTATAATCAATTTTCAAATTATAATAATTTATTTGCAAAATTTTATTACTAAATATTTAAACAGTAATCGATCATATAATATCAAATATCAATAGTATATACCTTTGGCGTTATATTTAACCATAAAAAGAAAAAGAAAAAAAAAGAAGGAAAAAAAACAAACAAACCAAATTGAAAGAAAAATACCAAGCGATAAAAAATATTACGAATCTTTGATATCAAACGAAGTAACGTAAACGAATAGATAGATTAAAATAAGAAAAAAAAAAAAAAAAAGAGAAAAAAAATGAAAAGTTAAGAAAGAGTCGGAGGAGAGGAAAGATCGAACGCGAGATAAAATACGAAGGAGGGAAATGCAAAAGAGTCAAAGTTTGGCATAGCGAATCGTTATAAGAAGAAGAGAGAGAGAGAGAGAGAGAGAGAGTCTTCTTCGACTTCTCGTTTCATTTATCGTAGCCCTCGAGAGATGGGACAAAGTCTAAGCGAGAAAAGAACTCTCGAGTTTCGTACTTCAGCAACCTCCTTTTGCCCCACTCGAACTCGATATAGAGACTCGCAAGATGAAGAAGAAGCAGAAGAAAAAGAAAAGGAAAAAGAAAAAGAAAAGAAAGAGAAGGAAAGAAGGAAGGAAGGAAGGAAAAGTATAAGAAACGAATAAAATCCTGTTCCTAGCTTGTTCCTTCTTCCAATTGCAGATCCCTCGAGAGAATATCCCGCGCGTACTGCGGACTACTTCTCGGTGAAGCTTTGGGCTTCTAATCTGTCGATCGAAATTCCATCGTTGCCTGAGGTACTTGAACGAATTGATGGGGCTGCCCAAAAGGACGCGAACATAGAAACACAAAGAAAGAAAAAGATAGAGAGAGAGAGAAAGAGAGGGGGGTTAAGAAAAAGGAGAGAATGGGAATAGTGTATATGTGAAAAAGAGAAAGAAATTTGTAAGAAAGAGAGTAAAGGTAGGAAACAAGGTAGACTGTTAGTCAGCAAAATTCGTTTCAGCAAAGCGATCCGTCACCGAATATCGGGGAAAAAGAAAGACACAGAGGTCTCCTTGAACTAGCTACGAATGGACCAAGTATTTTCCAAACCCTCGAATACTCACTCAAACAAGATTTACCAATCGTAACACATAGATAAAGATAGGACTTGTTATATTCACACACGTGACATACACATAAAAATGTAGATTTCTTAGAATGTAGAATAGACAGAGTACAACTTGGATACTTTGTATGTCTCTAACATATTTAAAAAAACACAGAGACACAGATACACATACATAGAAGGTATATCGAACATCCCAAGAGCTAATATAACATTCGAACGAATTTACTTTTTCCGAATGCAGACGTTGTCTCTGACCGTAGAAAACGGAGTTACTTTTACTAGTCTTATCGCCAACCTGTCTGCTGTTCTTTCAAGCACGTTTTCTTCTTGCTTAGAATCTTTACTTTCTCTTCGAACTAAATTTAATCTCTCTTCTCTCTCTCTCTCTCTCTCTCTCTCTCTCTATCTATCTCTATCTCTATCTCTCTTTCTCCCACGAGAAATCCGTTATTGCAAGATTTTTCTTTTCTTTTTTTGTTTTTTTTTTTTTTCGTATAATCAAGTAACATAATAATATAATTATAAAATCACAAATATATTTACCGTTATTGAAACTATTTAAAATATTTTTTTTAAACCTTCATAACATTAAAGCTTTGTTCTTTTCCTAGAAAAAAAAGGGTAACTTTCTATGAGAACAAACCAAAGATCGTTGAAAACTGCATTGTCCTTTCGAAACAAACCAAGGGATGATATTTTTCTTTCTAATCTCAAAATCTCCATTTCAATTAAATTTAATTGTAACAAAAATAAAAAATACAGCAACAATACAAATATCGTTTAATCGATATTATCGAAAAATCGTCTGTTATTATAGTTTCGTAATTGTATCTTTTATTTCCTTTAAAACCATCCTTAGAGCTTGAATGCAAATAATCCACAGGCCGGTCAGAAGCACCCTGATTTCTCTACTCTCTCTCTCTCTCCCTTTCTCTCCCTTACCTGCATC